AAACGAATAAACAATCAGCGAAATCTTGGTCCCGATGGAGCTTGCTGGTTTTGCGTCTCCGAGTTTCAAGTGTTCTTAAAAATTGGCAGTCTCTGAGCACCCTGAAACGTGCAATCGTCTCTGGTTTTTTACCCTGCTGACGCTCTTACGCGGGTGTTTCTTAAAGTATTCCCAGAACTCTCAGGAAAAACTTATAGGATTCGTTGTACAGAAACACTGAGACTTCGTTCGAGGTTCAAGGCAATGTTGTCGTACCCAAGGTTCAGCTCAAAAAGTTGAAGTTCCGGACAGTAATATCCAGAAGTGCGCCTCAAGCAGCGCAGCATAGTACCGCTGACATGCGGGTTGATGCGCACTCACGTTGAGACATCACACACATGCTACTAGGATATCCGTCGTCAGGTGTCTTGCCACATAATAGCACTACCAGGTTGAACACGTTTGGTCCCGGTGCAAATGCAGCGCAAGTGACCGTCGCTTGCGACAAGGGCACGTCGAGCGATGGGCAACCCAGGGGGAGAGAGTTATTTATCGAAAAAATCGCCTCCTGTTATTGATCCGCCTTGAGTTTTTCCTGTTTCAGAGTGTGCTAACTCCTTTCCCTCACCGTTGAGCAGTTTATTTGGGAAAAAGGTGATTTTTGAAAAACTAGGCAAAGTTGTTGGAGGCTACGGAAAGAGGTCGGGTAGAAGGGAGACAATCACTCTTTAAGGGGAAATTAGAGAGCGAGGGTGGGGAGGGAAGGGTGAGCCCACATTTCTAAGAAAATCTCTAGCAGCAGGACGTACCCTCTTCACCGCCTCGCCCCCTTCCCCAATGGTTGAACTAGGCCCCACGGTCTAGCTTGACTGGAGCCAGGCTTCTCCTCTTTCGAAGCCTTCTGAAGCAAGACCTGGATTCGAATCAGGATCATGAATGTGAGCTTCCGAACACTACCCTGACCACCCCTGTTCAGCTTTCCCTTCATGAATTTCTACAGCCTCCCGACGGTATGGCCCATTCGCCCTAGCCTTGTCTATGCACTCTATTGACAGCTCTTCTCATCTTTATCAGGGCAATCTATGACCTGCTTCCCTGGCTCATTCTGTTTTCCTGAGAGAGACCTCACAACGCTGGTTGTTTTGCCCAGTGTTGTGTAAAGTGGAAACCACAGCTCCATTGGAAGTCGAGGAATGACCACAACTCTTGTTCCCTCGCGTAACTCGCATCGCTATCGATCTTCATATGACTCGGGCTTTTTCAGAAAGACCGAGAATCGTTCGTTTCACCGAGTAAATAAAAAAAATTGCAAATGTCAACGTATGCGAAGCAAAACAAAATAATTTATTAGAATGCATAAATCTGACTAAATTAGACTAGCAAATTTGACAGCTACTCTAGTGCGCAATTACATCGACGACGATTCACCGAGATACTAGACCTTCACTGGAGGCGGAAGCTTTGAGCTTTCCTGATTCAGGCAGATGACGATAATGATAAGGATGATAATGGTAATGATCAGGATGGTGAGGGTTCTTCTCCAGTTCAATGAGGTTTTTCACTCCGTCGTACATCTGTTTGACGGCTTCGAATTCCGTCAGACCAAGGCGAGCTTTGTTCGACATTTCATAGACGTCGTCACCCTCTCCATAAATACGGCGGATCTGCAATGGATTTTTGGATTTTGAAATTTGGATTAAAATGCTGAGGATGCTAGAGGAGAGCAGGAGTTCACCTGGAGCTTAAGCTTATCACAGATCTCCTTGGAAATCGGGCTTAGCAGAGATCTTCGGCAAGCGAATGTGTACGGAGGCGCGAACAGTGGTACCTAGATTAGATGGGCAGAATGTGAGCCAACCAAGACGATCGTCACGTGAGAATGGAGCCTGAGCCTGGATGATCTTCACTCCCTTAATCAAGCGCTCCAATACCTAAATTGAGACTTTGAAATTCCTATGAAGAGATCCGTTCAATCAAAAGCCACTTGTCCAACGTTTCCACCGTTTTGCATGGAGATGATACGAAGGTGGTCCTCTTCATTGGCCCAGACAAGGAAGGTCTTGTTCTTGTTGTGGAAAATTCCACGTCCCTTGGGCCAGTATCGGCAAGCGTTGGCGGCCTGGAGGAATCTGAAATGCCCTCCTTTCAGTAGTAAAAAAATATCAATTGTATCGAAATATTCGAATACAAAGCAGTAAGAAAATAAGCGAGAGAACGTTCTGCCCACCTGTCACCCTCCTTGAAGAGGAAGTGATCCTTGATGAGTTGGTTCTGGACTTCCTTGGTCATACCATCAAGAGGATAGTAGGTTCCCTGTAGCTCTGGGTCAGAGATGTTCTCGAAGATTTTCTTCACCTTTCCTGAAACTCGTTAATCAAGACGGCTTTGACGACTAATGATGCAAGCTGCGTACCTTCCATCTCGAGATAGTTGGCCTCGGTAAGGCAAGGGTTGAATGGATATCCCTGGAGTGAGCGGCTACATCTACAAAACAGAACATGGAAACTGACGCAAAAATCAAGCAGTCCAGCGGCTTATACCATTCGAATACCAACTTAACTCG